TATAATATAATATATAAATTTATAGTTTAAATTGAAATTCATAAATTAATTATCTTCTTTTTTTATATCTTAAACAATTCACAAAAATTATGATCGAAATTGTGATTCTATTTAATTATTTAAATAAAATCGATTTTTATCAAACGAAATTTAAAATAATAATTCATCATAAATTTATTCATTTTAAAAAACAATCAAATTAAAACTTTATTTCATAATTCGAAAGTATTATTATATTCAGAAAAAAAGATCTTTTCAAAAATCTGCACAATATTTGAAAAGTATAAAAAGCGTATTATATATAAAAATAAAACTTTTAATCTAAAATAATTCCAATATCATTAAATTTCTTAAATTTTTTATACTTGCCAAAATTTCTTCTCTCTCGGCGAATAATTCGAAATTCACATTTTCGAAAAGAAAGCACGAATGAAAAAAACATGAGATAAATTAAATAAGTTAAAAGATAGAGGAGAGAAAAGAGAAGGTAACAGTCTGTCGCTACCATCGCTTCTTTCAAGGTTTCGACGAATCGACCTCCAAGCAATCACAGCCCCTGGCATGCGTATTCTGTTTCTTGTTCACAGAGAGGTTCAGCCTCCTTCAACGAACTTGCTCCCTGATTGGATCAACAGCTGGAACCAGCGGTTCTGGGGCGGTCGGAGGCGGACAAGTTCAACTCTGGCAATTCCTGCTGGAGCTACTCTCGGATTCGTCGAATTCATCCTGTATCGCGTGGGAGGGCTCTAACGGGGAATTCAAACTTACCGATCCGGACGAAGTCGCGCGTCGATGGGGAGAACGGAAAAGCAAGCCGAATATGAATTACGACAAATTATCACGAGCGCTCAGGTAAAATTGAATATATATTATATTTTATGAAATTTTAATACAAAAATATTTATTCGTTATAAATTCATAAGTAAATGTGGGATAATTGTTGATTAATTACTCGGAATTCAAACCGAATATTCAGTAGTAAAATTGAATTCAATTTAATCTTGATTCAATTAAAACTATGATTTTCCTTTATATTTTAGAAAATAGTGAATAAAAAAGAAAAAAGGCTAAAAGTTAAAGTAAATATATCGATAAATTTCATGATATCTTTATCAAGAAAACTATGAAGACATTATTGTAAAATTAAGTTTCATATCATTTAAAATTTATATCATTATAGTTATTTTATAAATATATGCTCATGATTAGTCTTGAATAAATTTATAACGAATAAATATATTGCATTTGAAGAAATTTAAATGTCCGTATTTCAATATAATATTATATTAGTTATTAATTATTATATCAATAATAATTGTTTCCTAATTATCAGAATAACATAATTATAAATATATAAGAGATAAATTTTGTAATGTTTTAAAATAATTTATATTTAACATATTAAATGTATAATGCGTAGTGACAATTTAACAACATATCTCCAATATAGGAATCTCCAATAGTAGGTAAAATTTCCAAAATTCTAAAAACAAAAAAAAAAATAAACGCAAAATAAAAATATTTAATTATAAATTACTTAATTTTGTCTCTTTTTAAAAAAAAATATTAATATAAAAAATATAATCTGAAATATGAAATATAATAAATATTTATATATAGTAATAAATATAAATATCTAATCTAATCTATTTTAAATATATCTAT